ACTTTCGTTCTCAATCTGGTTGGGTGTTTACCCTAAATGGATGAGCGGTAACCTGGAAAAGTTCCAAACAAGAGACGGTGGGTGATTCTACATGTGAATTAGAGTACATAGTGACAAGAGAAGTATCAAAGGTGACTATTTGGTTGAAGAACTTCATCGGAGACCTTGGAGTTGTTCCATCCATCAAGGAGCCAATGGAGATTTTATGTGATAATGAAGGGGTGGTTGCCTTAACAAAGGAACCAAGAGATCATGGCAGATCAAGTGTAACAACGTAAATTTTCAAACAATTTTTCATTTTTAAAACATAATTCATTCATAACAAAACCCATTGTATCACGTAATATCTCAATGAACAACCCCAGAATCTCAAGTACATAAATCTTCATCAGTGTGTACAGACTATGTCGACGCCTTCCCGCGATCCTCGCTAGTACCTAAAACACATAACACAACAACTGTAAGCATAAATGCTTAGTGAGTTCCCCAAATACCACATACAACACATACGCCTTTCCAGGCCATATCTCTGTGGGATCTTCCGATCCAAATGTCTCAGGGGACTTCCGTCCCGAATCCCGGTAGACCTTCCGGTCCTACCCGTATCGACCTTCCGGTCCGTAACCTCTTGACCTTCCGGTCCATATCATCTTGACCTTCCGGTCCTTATCATACATAACATACATAACACATACATATCACATAACAACATACAGCTCATACATCTCATAGCATATAAGACCTTCCGGTCACACATAGGTACCCTTCCAGGTACAGTATAGTGAGAAGACTCACCTCAATGAAGTCGGATAAACTCTCGAGCTCAACGTCCCGACTTAGCCACCTCCTATTATACAAATAACATTCGCGATCAATATTCTCTCATAGCCCCATTTCTAAAGATTGGGTAGAAGGCCATTCTACCCCTCCCTGAACTCCCTTGAATCAGACTTGACCAAAACCCTAAGGTCAACGGAAGTCAACGGTCAAACTTTGACCCGACTCGTCGAGTGCACATGGGCGACTCGGCGAGTCCATGCGGGTCCTCTAAATCCTTCCAGCCTCTCTTGGCACGTCGAGTCATCCCTCCACTCGACGGGTTCCTCCTGTCACGAATCGCGGGGCAACCCCGACTCGACTCGTCGAGTCCACTTATGACTCGGTGAGTTGCTTCCATGCTCACACTCAAATGACCTTCTGAGGTCAGTTCTGCTTCTCCAATCTATAGATCTGACCTTCCCAAGCATGATAATCACGAAAAGGTTCGAACTTTAGGCCCATGCATCACACTATCACCTTTATATGCCAAAATAACCCTTAAAATGATAACCTAAGCCCCAAACTCATAAAGGACTACATAAAGCTGGAGAATAGGGACTCTCTGGACCTCTCAAGGTCCAGATCTGATGATATTGACACAAGGGGACAACACATACACTAGATCTCTTACCAAAAAGAAGAGAAAAAGCCCTAGATTCATGAAATATATTACTCAATGAAAATGGACATGAATCCTTACCTCCCACAGCAGCTCTGCACCAAATGATGGAAGATTTGAGTCCCACAAGACTGCCTAGCTCGAAATCCTCCTTTCCCTTTGCTAAAACACACCAAATAATGATGAATTAGCCTTCCTCTTGCACCACAAACGATCTCTCTGCTCTCTAGGGTTTCTCAGGGGTGAAGTGGCCGCAAATGGAGGCCATAAAGGCCTTTAAATAGGGCACAGACCCCGAGAATTAGGGTTTTAATCCATAGCGCGGACTCGTCGAGTCCACCCTTTCCGACTCGTCGAGTCCGTTCATTAATCCAGTCAGCACATGCGATCCTACTCGACGAGTCTACGCCTCAACTCGTCGAGTCCCTCCCTTTTACTCAAAAGAATAAATGATCAAACATAATACCTAAAAATCCGGATGTTACATCAAGACATATCGATAGAAAATACCATTTCATCAGACAGAGAGTAGAAGAAGGTCACCGCATCGTGAAGAGGGTATCATCAGAAGAGAATCCTGCATATCCCCTTACAAAGGGTCTGAGTAGGGTCAAGCATGTTCAACATGCTAGGAGCATCGGTCTGAAAGATGATATTAGTTTTAGTAGTTAGATAGTTATTTTATGAAACTTGTAACAAAGTAAATGTAATTGAATTTTGGTGATTAAATAGTGGAGATTTATTTATGAGTTGGATTACTACCTTCTGCCTATTGTTTATTTTGTGTTTCATTTTTACATGTTTTACTTCCCGAATTATTGGATTATTCAAACATCCACAGTCGATCATACTTTTGGAAGTAAGTAGTGAATCGAGACTGGCATGAACTGGATTGTAGATTGTCTAAAAAGTTTTAGACATGGCAATGGTATTGCTGCAATATTCATGAGTACTTTGCAATAGAGATTTAAGTATTTGATTAACCCACACTCAAAGAATTACTTCATGGAATTTATCACGAGTAATTCTGAGACGATAATATCTTATAATCTTTAAACAGGGATATATGAGTTGTAGTTTACAAATTGGTTGTGCATTGATGATACGAAAATGCATCAGTAACTTGATGTTATAAAACATATCGTTGTACATGATTTGATGAGTAAATGGTGCAATCATATAAGTCAAAGTTTTTTTTGTTCCTTTTTCCTTAACGGGAAATGCGATATCTTTAGGCTCCTCGGTGATTAGGTGTTGACTTATAGTGTCGGGCCCGGCCAGGACTTGATTGATGTGTTCGATTTGATGTTCTATGCCATTACAAATCAGAAATCGGGAAACAAAGTATTGGACAATGAGATTGATTATGTTTCATGTCTCATGTATGTATGATATCTTGCAGAACAGAGGATTATATGATCACTTATCTGAGGACATGTTACTGATTGGGTCAAAGTTCGACAACGGGTTTTGGTAGCTACAACTTGCTAATTAATTTGGAAGTTGTACTGGCAGTTATAGTTATTAGAGTTATCCAAGTGGGAGACTATTAGATTAGGTGTCTAAGCCCATAACTATAATTGATATAAACTTAAATTGATAGTAGCACAATCCTTTTGGGTTGACCTCAAAGTTAGCGATTGGACAATATTATTTTGGAGAGAGCGAGAATGATTTATTATTTGATTAATAAATTAAAATATATAATTTGTTAATATATTATTAGAATAATATATTAATTAGAAATTATGATATTTGATTAATAATTAATCAGAAATTAATTAGAATTAATTTTGGGATTGATTGGATTAATCTATAGTGTAGGGGCTGTTTGGAAAATTAATGATAGTTGAGGAAAAGGCTCTAGAACCTCCTTGTAAGAGGGAGAATAATATATTAATTAGAAATTATGATATTTGATTAATAATTAATCAAAAATTAATTAGCATTAATTTTGGGATTAACTGGATTAATCTATAGTGCAGGGGGTGTTTGGAAAATTATTGATAGTTGAGGAAAAGGCTCTAGAACCTCCTTGTAAGAGGTTAGACGAATACTTCGAGGAAGGACATAGAATTTTCGTCCAAAGGCTCTTGGATGGAGGCTTGTGGGCTGCTTGGTCACCAAGCAAAGAGATTAGAGTTTCCTCCCTTAAACCCTAGCTTTGGCTCTAAGCTACCTCACCTATATAAGGAGCATTAGCCTTCACAATTTCGGCACTCCTAACCTTAAAAGACTTTTGGCTGAAATTCTCCTCCTCCCTCTCCATAATCCTTAGTTGCCTTGGGTGTGAACCATCAGAGGCCCGACGCTTGTGGTGCTAACTACCAAAGTTTTGAAAAAGAAGGATTCAAGATTGTTTACAATAACAATCTTAGTTTTCTTGTCTTATGAATTAGTTTGTTCGTAGGAAAGTTTTGTATGCTAGTATTCATAGTATGTTGCTAATATGTGAAAGACATAAAGCAAACTAGGTTACATGTGCCATAACCAATTGAATTGTTTTGATTGTTTTTCCGCTTATGGCATTGTAGTTGTAACCTAGATTCCCCATCAGTTTAGTGGTTGGTGGTGATGGGTGGTGGGTGGTGGGTCGTAGGTGGTGGTGATGGGTGGTTGGTGGTGGTAGGAGGTGTTGGTTGGATGATGAGTGATGTTGGTTGGTAAGTTTTTTTAATTATTTTTTATTATTTTTTATTTATATAAATATATTTATTCACATCTAGTTTTTGATTTAATTACAAAAGTGTCACCTTGCAAATTAAAGAAAGATTTTTGTTCTCAAATGTTCTCACAATAAAAAAATGTTCTCATTTGAACGCTCATATATATATATATATATATATATATATATATATATATATATATATATATATATATATATATATATATATATATATATATATATATATATGACGTGGTTCACCGCAACTCCAAAAAGTTTGACGCTTGATATTGTCGTCAAGTCACGTTTTTAGTTATTTAGAACCTTGGATGAATAACATGATGATTATGATTAAATATGAGTTGAATGGAGTGTAGATGATTAAAAAGAATAAAGTTGAATGAATGAAATGGTAATTATGATTAAATAGGTGTTTAATAGGCTGTATGTATTATTGAATGTAATTGATTTTCAAGTATTTAGGATTAAATATGATTAAATAGCTCCCGTTATCTATGAATTGATTTTCTAGTGCGACAACTTGTTTCCGACGTATCGTGTTACATTACAAGTTAGCAAGGCATGGCGTTATATAGTTGAGCTAGTTTTCTATTATTGTTCACATGATAATAATATATATTGTATATAAATACAAGTCCTAGCTATACGTTTAATTTAATTCATGAGAAATAGAATACATTCACTATTGCTAAAGCTTTCTGCTCTCTAATTTGTAATTCTTTTCACCAGCAAAGAATCCAAAATCCTCCATTAATCATTTTGTATCTTCCTTGCATATAACCCCAGGGTATTCTCTTACGTTGAAATTCATGTATGGAGATTAACCACTTAAGCACTTAACACAACCGAACCCCATGAACACAAAAAATACGACACTCAATACTTTGCCGATGGTATATGATCCAATGAAACGTCTCCATTCATGAGAGCCAATGTTTGCATGTCTGGTGCCAGCTCTGACACACTCCAAACTTTGACGGATTTATCCAAACTGCCACTATAAACCTTCCATCTCCCCTTACCGCTGTCTGACTCCGCCTCCCGCACCACCGCCAGACACTTCACCGGTCCAGAATGGCCAGTCAGCACCGACAAGCATGTATGGATAATCCCCTCGCTCCTCCATACACATATCATTTTATCAGCTGATCCACTGAACACCAGATTACCAGCAGCCGAAAGACACAGAACCGCTAACTTGTGTCCATTGAGGACGCCACCATGAGCCAACTCGTTTCCTCCTTCCCAGAAGTTTACTATTCCGTCCGATGTCCCGCAGTACACAAACGAGCCTGTACTAGACGCTGTCAATGCTGTCACAGCACTATCTTGATTAAATAGAGTTTTCACGAAGATATGCTTCATCGATCTTCCTTTCCCTTCACGTTTCCAGACCTTCACGGACCCATCTGCAGATCCCGTGAACACATACCCTTCTACGGTGGAGATAACAGAGTTCACTGCATCGTCATGCGCCTTCACGGTCTGTAAACATCTTGAGTTTGACGTTTTCCATACTTTAAATGTCCTATCCCATGACCCTGAATAAAGCAGCCCTGCTTCTTCATTCATGCTAAGACACGAAATGGCATCACAGTGTTTGACCCAAACTGCAGTGTGCCATGGGTTTACTGAACTTTTAAGGATCGCAAAGAACGAGGGGTAGGTGCCCACACGATTGTAAAGGGTTGGCTTCCTACGGCTTGGTTTCCATACACGAACTTTTCCATCTTGATGTCCGGTGAAAATCTTTCCATTGGATATGATAATCGCCTTCACCAATCCACTGTTGGATTTAAAAGCTGCAAACTCGTTCATGTTCTTCCATACACGGACATTCTTGCTGTCTGAACCTGTGTACAGAAGATCATCACAGGCTGCGAGTGAATAAATATGGCCTTCTTCACGTACCAAGGAGCCAACAAGACCATTTTTATGACAATTTGGATCGTCAATATTAGAGCTTGACCATGCAGATGGAAGGAAAGGAGTACCCTGGTTCCAGGGTGACTTCATCATTGGTGAGCCCTCAATGCTTGTTCGCTGGGCATCATAGCCGGAAAAGTCGCTCCGCCGGCTGTTGAGTTCTTCATCCGTGTCTGAAAATGAGAACGAGAGGTTTGGATCCGAAAGCGTCCTTTGTTTAGGTAACCCTCCCGTACCTCCATTTCCATAACTTGTTTTCTGTTCTTTCATTATCTGTGAATTATGACTATGATTTCTTTTAACGATTTATGAAGATTCAGGTTTTTGAATTCTAACAATGGAATTCGAAACGATGAACAAAACTGAACAAATGCAATAGGAAAGATGGAACCGGTGGCCAGGAAAGAGATGGAATGTTTTTTTTGGCATGTATACGTACGTACACTTGCTTCTTACAATGGATGGGAATATGATGACATGTGATAATTTTAGGAGCTAAAACATTATCCAACGTTTGGTGAATAGAGAATTCCGGGGCTCCTTGAATTTGAGAAAAGAATCTAATGAAATAGAAATTGTTAGATACAACTTATATACATTTGTATCAAGGGTTAATGAAAATATTGTCCATTGAACTTTTTGAAATCTGTTTAAAAAGTATTTTTTTTCTTACGTTATGGGCATAGTATGTCATCACTACATTTGAAGCACATATGACACTCATATCAGAGTTGATGTGGTGGTAATTGAATATGTGGTTGCCCATGTGTACTCATAAGATAATCCCTGCACGATCTTGGTATCGAAGGTGTTTGATGGAATAGGCTTTGCGGCATGGAAGAGATCAATGACTCTCTCTTCATTTCATGTAAGAACAAAATCGGTTTTTATTAATGGTTCCATGGAAAAGCCTACTATGATTCTAATCTGTTACAAAATTGGAACAGAGAAACACTATTGTTATTAATTAGTTGGTTACTGAATTCAATGCTTATAGACATTGTCGAGAGTATCTTGTGTCTATCAACAACCAAAGAAATCTTGTCTAAAAAAAATCAAAGGTATGAACAAGCTAAAGGTGTTGAATATTGATCCAAATCTGCATCAACGGTGACTTGGAATTAGTCAGCTAAGTGACCTGGTAATCAGGAAGTATTAGGCGAGTCTTTCGGGATAAAAATGCTACTGCTATTAGTGGGATAGTGCTCCTTAGTTTTCTCTTTTACTGTTATGTTTTTAGTTTAAATAAGTCTTGTGTTTTCCTTGTTTTGTATGTGTCTTTTGAGATCAATAAAAGCAGTAGTTTCCCAACTCTTTCTCTCTTAACTCCAACATTGTGGTATCAGAGCAACAGGCGGTTCTGTGATGGCAAACTCGGGAAACAGTATGAGTTCGGCACAACCATTGATTCCAGTATTCAAGGGAGATGGATACCAGTATTGGAACATACGATTCAAGACACTACTCAAATCACAAGACTTGTGGGAGTTTATAGAAAATGGGTGTACCACTGAAGATGATGAAGCACTAATGAAAGAAAACAAGAGAAAGGATGCCAAGGCACTGGCCATTATCCAGCAAGCAGTTCATGATACGATGTTCTCAAGAATCGCAGCAGCAAGCACCGCACAAGAGGCATGGGAGGTGTTACGTGAAGAATTTCATGGCGACTCAAAGGTTGCTGTTGTAAGGCGCCAGTCTCTCAGGAGAGAATTTGAAAACCTAGCAATGAAAGATGACGAAGCTGTTGCTGATTTGATGTCTAGAAGTATGGACACTGTGAGTCAACTGAGAGCATATAGTGAAGAGATAAGTGATCAAACCATTGTCGAGAAGGTGTTGCGGAGTCTACCATAGAATTTTGATCATGTAGTAGCATCAATAGAAGAGTCAAAGGATCTCTCAATTCTCTCCGTTAATCAATTGATGGGGTCCTTGCAGTCTCATGAGGCAAGGATTAAACGTTCACCAACAAAAATAGAAGAAAAGGCTTTGCAGGCACAAGATACATCATCCTATGGTGGACGTGGATCAAGAAATTTCCAAGCACAAGACACAACATCATTTGGTGGTCGTGGATCAGGAAGCTTTCGAGGCAGATCTCGTGGTCGAGGAGGCTTCGGTAGAGGTCGAGGAAGAAATAGTGTGCACTGCAAACATTGCAATCGTTTTAGTCACGTGAAAGATGACTGTTGGTTCAAGGATCAACATGTTAGTTATAATGCTGAAGAGAACTTGGGTAAAACTGAGGAAGAAGAGAAGTTGTTCATGGTGCGTATGGCGGAGGATGATCATAACGAATGGACACACATGGCTCTCATGATGTGTGCTGGAGATGTGAATAAAGCAAACAACATTTGGTTCATTGACAATGGATGTTCGAATCATATGACCGGGCAAAGAGATGTCTTCTCTACACTTGACAACACACAGAAGATGGTAGTTCAAGTTGGTGATGGAAAGAAATTATATGGAGAAGGACAGGGCACTGTGAAAATTCAATTGACAACTGGGAAGACACGTCTTGTGCATGAAGTTTTCTATATACCTTCTTTAGGGTATAGTCTTCTAAGTGTTGGGCAACTAATATCAACCGGGCATTCCGTTCTTTTCCAAGATGAAATGTGTGTTATTAGCAAAAATCTTCAGGAGATTGTTAAGGTTCCAATGACAAAGAACAAAATGTTTCCTTTAGATATTTCAGCAATTGGAAACTTTGCACTGGTTGCAAAAGAAAAGAGTAAATCATGGTCGTGGCATCTTCGATATGGGCATCTAAATCAACAAGGTCTGAAGCTCCTTCATACAAACAACATGGTTCATGGGCTACCAGAAATAACACAAATGGATCTGTGTGAAGGTTGTGTTTATGGTAAGCAACATCGAAAATCGTTCCCAACAGTTGGTGCTTGGAGAGCCTCTAATCTACTTGAGTTGGTTCATGCAGACGTCTGTGGACCCATGCCGACAACATCATTTGGAGGTAGTAAGTACTTTCTACTACTAACAGATGATTATACACGAATGTCATGGGTGTTTTTTCTGAAGAGTAAAGGAGGAGTATTTGCTAATTTTAAAACATTCAAGGCTAAAGTAGAGAATCAAAGTGGGTTCCATATAAAGACTCTTAGAACCGACAATGGAGGTGAATTTGTTCTTGAAGAATTCAATCGATTTTGCGATGAACATGGTATACATAGAGAACTCACTACACCATACACCCCGGAGCAAAACGGTGTATCGGAACGAAAGAATAGGACAGTGGTTGAAATGGCCCTCAGTATGCTGAAAGAAAAAGGTTTACCTGATGAGTTCTGGGCAGAGGCGATTGCTACAGCGGTGTATCTACGGAACATATCACCAACAAAAGCGGTATTGAATCAAACGCCATTTGAAGCATGGATCGGTATTACGCCTTCGGTAAGCCATTTACGTGTTTTTGATCTGTTGCATATTCCCTGATTCCATCTCATTCAAGAAAAAAATTGGATGCAAAGTCTATTAAGTGCATATTTGTTGGGTATTCTACCCATGCTAAAGGCTATCGGTTGTATAACCCACAAAATGGAAGAATCATGACTAGAAGGGATGTGTTGTTTGATGAGAATGAACAATGGAAATGGACCAAAGAAGAAACAGAAAAAGATAATGTGTCGCCTCTCAATCTTTAACCAGAAGACGGTCTGGTACCCAATGAGTTGTTAAGCTCTTCGGAAAACAACAACACGCCACCATCCTCTCCACCGGCAAGCCATGCATCAAATACTACTTCCTCAAGCTCCAGTTCACCTTCAAAGGGACAATCGCCGAAAAGCACTCCACCTGCGAAATTAAGGTCCCTAGCCGATATTTATGCATCCTGCCAATTTGCTCTCTTTTGTGCAGATCCCGAAACTTATAAGGAGGCATCAACTAAAGAAGAATGGAAGAAAGCAATGGCTGAGGAAATGGCGTCTATAACAAAAAATCAAACATGGCAACTTGTGGAATTACCATAAGGAAAGCATGCCTTAGGACTCAAATGGGTGTTCAAGACAAAGTATGGAGCTGATGGAAAAGTTGATAAGTACAAGGCAAGAATCGTCGCTAAAGGATATGCACAAGAATTTGGTGTTGATTTTGAAGAAACCTTCGCACCGGTAGCTCGTTTTGAAACAGTGCGAATGCTTTTATCTTTGGCAGCTCAACAACAATGGGTTGTCTATCAATTTGATGTGAAATCGGCTTTCCTCAATGGTGAGCTAATGGAGGAAGTATATGTCGAGCAACCGGAAGGATTTACTGTGGTTGGAAATGAAAACAAGGTGTACCGTTTAAAGAAAGCTCTTTATGGCCTAAAGCAGGCACCCCGGGCCTGGTATAGCAAGATTGATGATTATTTTAAAGGAAATGGGTTCAGTAGAAGTGAAAATGAGCCAACTCTCTATATAAAGAAATCCGGTATATGTGATATCATTATTGTTTGCATGTATGTAGATGACATTATCTACATGAGTTCCTCCAATATAATGATTGATGAGTTCAAGTCACAAATGATGAGTATGTTTGAAATGAGTGATATGGGGGTGCTACGTTATTTTCTGGGTCTGGAAGTCATTCAAAATGCTGATGGAATATTTGTGAATCAAGCCAAGTATGCAAAAGACCTTATTACTAGAATGGGTATGATAGGTTGCACTCCCACTGCAACACCAATGAATTCCAGTGAAAAATTTGTTATGGAAGATGGTGAAGAGAGAGTAGATGCTACACGATATAGGAGCTTAGTAGGAGGTATGATCTACCTAACACACACATGCCCTGATATTGCCTACTCTGTTGGAGTTGTATCCAGATTCATGCATCATCCCTCGAAGATACACTTTGGAGCAGCAAAACGGATTCTGAGATATGTAGCTGGTACTCTTAAATATGGAATATGGTATGCTCAAGCAACACAAGTCAAGTTGTGTGGTTTTACAGATAGCGACTGGGATGGATGTAGTGATGACAGGAAAAGTGTTTCAGCTAATGTGTTCACCATAGGCACAGGTGCAGTAACTTGGAGCTTAAAGAAACAAGAAAGCACAGCATTATGAAGCACCGAGGCAGAATACATAGCTGCAACTGCTGTAACATGTCAAGGTGTATGGTTAAGAAGAGTGCTTGAAGAACTTCAACAAAAGCAACACAGGGCAACCGACATTTACTGTGACAACAAGTCTGCAATTTTCTTGACTAAAAATCCAGCACTTCACAGTCGCACAAAGCAAATTGACACTCGTTTTAATTACATCCGTGAGCTGGTAAGCAAAGGAGAAATCATTGTCAAGTATTGTAGTACTAATGTGCAGTTAGCTGACATTCTCACAAAGGCACTACCAGTTGGAAAATTCAGCTACTTTAGAGATCTGCTTGGAGTATGCACATTTGAATCAAGGGGGCGTGTTGAATATTGATCCAAATCTGCATCAACGGTGACTTGGAATTAGTCAGCTAAGTGACCTGGTAATCAGGAAGTATTAGGCGAGTCTTTCGGGATAAAAGTTCTACTGCTATTAGTGGGATAGTGCTCCTTAGTTTTCTCTTTTACTGTTATGTTTTTACTTTAAATAAGTCTTGTGTTTTCCTTGTTTTGTATGTGTCTTTTGAGATCAATAAAAGCAGTAGTTTCCCAACTCTTTCTCTCTTAACTCCAACAAAAGGAGCATTGATTTATCAAATTCAGAAACAATCGTTTTCCATTAATCAAGGATTGGAAAATTTCCCCACTTACACCAAAATAAAGAAACTATGTGATGGATTAAGAATGATTCAAGAAATACCTAACTGTCCATGTCTTATCTTCCTTTTAACGTGTTCTGCACCTAAGACGACAGTAACATTTCGTTCTTTGACATCGTCCCTTTCATTCACCTAAAGACATTGAAGATACATAAAAAGGATGTTAACGATATGTTTGTTCATCCATCTGGGAAGTTGGTGTTGACAGCGGGGAGAGATTCGTGTTTAGCTATGGTGAATTTGGTAAGAGGAAGGAGGAGTTTCTGTTGTTGCTTGGGGAAAGAAGCTTCCTTTTAATATTTTGAAATTTGATTGTAATGGTGACAAGTTCTTTATGGAATGGATGAGAAAATATACATGCATGAAGCAGAGGATGCAACCTCCTTTCTTGAATTGGAATCCAAGAAAAAAGTTATTGGCACGTGGCTTATGACATGGAAAGGATAACTTATTTACCCCTTCAAAATCTCCACATGGATCTTTTAAACCCCACAAATTGCACCTTAGACCATCTCCAACCCATCTCCATTTCCCCCCCCCCCCCATAAATGGAGTAAAAAAATAGAGTAAATAGTGTTCCATCTCCAACCCTACTCTATTTTATACCCCATTTTTTACACCAAAAAGTATATTCCTTGAATATTCCATTTTTATAACTTATATATATTGTCAAATACACCCCTCTACTAATTAAACTCTATATTTATGATTAATTAATATAAATTAATATATAACATGATATTATAAATATTAAATATTGCATTTAAATTATAATTAGTAGATAAAATAAACTAAAAATGTATAAAATAAAAATGAAAGGGACTAAAATTGGCAACCAAACTTTACCTCCATTTTTGGAGATATGAATAGTATTCCCCCATATATGGGGGAATACTATTCATATCTCCAAAAATGGAGGTGAAAATGGGGTAGGGTTGGAGAAGAATGGGGGATGAAATGGGGGAAGAAATGAAGTTTGGGGGTGGGTTGGAGATGCCCTAATACCGCTAGAGCCAGAAAATAACTTCGAGGAGTTTTTTTTTAGGGAAAATGACTTACGAGCCCAACGAAGTTTTCTTGAACAGACAAAACATGATTGAGGTTTTTTAAACGGTTTGAAAACTTAGTTGAGCTTGTAAGTCATTTTCTCGGAGTTTTTAAACCAATTTAAGATAGTATGATGGGCAACAGTGACATTAACTATGGTGTTCCTTGGCTCTAACTAGTATCATGTGATTCAAACTTATCGATGCATTTCTCGTTCTGAGTGTGTTTTCCTTGGTCGAGAAACTATTTTGAAGAACTTTTTAGGGTTTTCCACTATTAAATAAAGAGCCCATTTCCAATGAATATTTTCATCGGAAATCTGTCAATAAATGGTTTTTTCAACAAATTTTCTTAGGAACTACGAATAGAATTTTTCGTCAAAAATTTACCGACATACGTAGATCACCAGTGGACTTATTATCAATAGATTACCAAAGAACCTGGTTCGGCTAAATTTGACCATTTCCAACAAAGTCATTTAGACCGCCTTTGACCATTTCCATTGTGTGTAATCTAGGTTGACCAATATTGATTTTTCCTACGGATTTTTGAAGGACTTTTTTCAGTTTTTAGTGTCGGATTTCAACCAATTTAGCCACTAAACTGACTTTTTTTAACAATAATTTTTTTTTAAAAAATCCAAAATTTTCTACTCAAAATACAGAAAAAAACTCAATACATTAAACATATAATAATATTTATTGTCAACCACAAAACTAATAGAAAATACAATAATAGTTGTCTAATAGATTATAAATGCCAATACAATTACAAATGTTTAACTAAGTGTTTAAAAGCATAAAACTAAGAATTATTTGGTGGATTACCGGATGAGTTGAATTATCTCATAAAGGTCATAAAGTGTTCTTTAATTTGAGTAAGACGCTTATCTAGTTGAGCTTGTCATTGGTGCATTTGCAAATTTTGTTGAGTTTGTCTTCATTCTATCTCATTTTCCATACCAAGTTGAGTTATTTGGATGGTTGTTCCAAGCTTTGAACTTGTTCTCGCAACTTGGTACGTAAAAAATGGTTAGGTAAATATAAATAGTTAGTAAATCTACCTCACTTTTAAACCATGGGCCAAATGGCATAAAAACCCTTGAGTTTCTCTAAAATGTTCGGTTTAACCCCTGGCCACAATTTAGGTCTAGAGAAACCGGGTAGTTGTCTAATTTATGTCGTAATTTCCCTATTACCTTATAAACATGTTTGTAACCGGTGATTCTCACTTAATTAGGTGGCCACGTGCCGGTAACCACAATGAGTGGGAAGACGGATCAACCGCTTCCCCCCATTTACCTCGTATCACCCTCTGTTACTCTCAATACATGCTAAATTAATTGTGAACCCTAATTTACTCACACCCAAAATTACTCAAAATTACTCTCAAATTGAAACGGAGGCGATGTCACTAAACACCAAAAATCAGTTGGAATTCTCAACGAAGGCGATGGATTTCTCAGACGATGTCTTCAAAGATGTCTTTGGTGGCTTGTACGAGCCATTTGCAGGCCTGAATGAGATGGATTTCGAGTTGTACGGTATCTACATGGATCATGAACCTCAAAACGAATTTCTTTCTCCTCTGAACAAATGTAAGGATTCTTTTCTGAATGTACTTCTTAGTGATGATAATCTACATAATTCTAGCATAGCTGATGAGGTTAGAGCATAAGTTTATCATGCTGGTGACTGGAAAAGTGATGAAGAGGTTGTCGAATAAAGAGAGAAGGTGAAGAAGAAGCACAAAATTCATGATCCAAATACAAGATGGGATCTTATGGAACCCAAGTTAGGTGACATGTTTGAGTCTATGGCACAACTAAAGGTTTGTATGAAAAACTATGAAGTGACAAATGGATATGGGATGTATTATGAGAAATGTGACAACACAAGGTTAGTAGTGAGATGTGGAAAGAGGGGTCAGGATAAGGAGAAGGAGAATCAATATCCTTTTAGACTGTATGTAGGGTGGATGTACAATGATAAAACAGTCAAGTAAAAAGTTTGGTACAGACTCATGTATGTGGTATAAAGTTCAAATTTGGAGCCATGGTTACGCCTGAATGGATAGGTAGGCATTACATTACTAAGATTTCCAACAAACCCAAGTTCAAACTTAGGGAGATGATAGTTGATATCAAGCAGACATACAAGTGTGTAATGTCCATTGGTCAAGTTCGTAGGGCTAGAGCATGGTCCAAAGAATTACTTAAAGTCAAACTGACAGATCAATACACTAGGATCTGGGATTATGCAAATGAGCTGATAAAATCCAATCCAGGTTCATCATGCTTTGTTGGTGTTTCTAGGCCTTCTAACAATCTAGATGATAAGAACTACTTCCATAGATTCTACATGGGGTTCAAGGCATTGACTGAAGGATGGAAAAGAGGGTGTAGAAAAGTCATTTGGTTGGATGGATGTTTTCTCAAGGGTCACATAAAGGGTGAATTGTGGACAACAATTGGAAGAGATGCCAATAACCAGGTGTACCCAATAGCTTGGGTTGTTGTGGATGTTGAAAATAAAGATAATTAGACATGGTTTATTGAGCTTCTTAGGGATGATCTGGACACTGGCAGGGGCAATGGCTTGGTGATCATATTAGATCAGCACAAAGTAAGAACCCTATTCTATTGTTTATGTCCTATAATATTGTGCTTATGCTTATGATTTTGTAACTTGTTATTATAGGGTTTAGTTGAAGCTGTTAGGGATGTAGTGCCTAATGTTGAGCACAGGTAGTGTGCTAGGCACATTTATGCCAACTTTGGGAAAGCTTTTACTGGATTAGAGTTCAAGAAGCTGTTTTGGGGTACATCAATGAGCTGTGTTGAATCTGATTTTATGAGGTACATGGAAAGGATAAAGGGGTTGAGTCCATCTGCATACGAGTACTTGATGTCAAAACAACCCAAAACTTAGTGTAGGGCTTATTTTGGTATAGGTTATGCATGTGAAGCTGTTGAAAACGGATTGTCTGAGTGTTTCAACTTGATTATAGTGGATGCTAGAAAAAAAATCCTTAATCACCATGCTTGAAGAAATCAGGATCTAGGCAATGGACAAGTGTGCATACTATTGGATTTAGTGTCTAAGCCCATAACTATAACCGGTATGTACTTGACCCGAGAGTAGCATGGTCCATATGGGTTGCATGGCACCGGAACAATTTGAAAGGATGGACTTTTGAGAAGAGGATATTCATGATTTATTAATATATTATAAGTTCTAATATATCAATATGAAATCATATTATTTAATTAGTATTGATCAAGAATTAATTTGGAATTAATTTTGTGATCAAAATAGACTAATTAAATATAAGGGGTTGATTTGGTAAAATCATTCATTCTTATGGTGTGGGCCAATGATCCATGATTCCTTAGGTTGGGCTAAACCCATATGACAACCCATGGATGATCCATGGAGGTTTAGACCCATGGAGCCTAAGGAATATGGAAGATCACGCACATTAGGGTTTACATGGTGTAACCCTAGTTTTTCCACACTATATAAGAAACCCATTAGCTCCTAAAATTGGCACCCTAGTGTTCTTGGAAGAGCAATAGTCGATTTTATAAGTGCAAGTATTCTCTCTCAATGTTCTCCATTGTTGGTGGTGTTGTGTGATTCCATTTGAGGTGCAACACTTTGGGGCACTAAGTTCTTAAAGGCTAAACTCAAGAAAACTACAAGCTACAACCAAGAGGTAACTCTATAACTTCCTTATATGTTGATTATATCATATTGTATGCTAGTTGTAGGCTTAATGCTTTGGAAACAACATTGCATGTATAATTAGAGAAAACATAGATCTAAAGAATTTAGGGTTGTATATGCACCATAGGATGTTGTAGTATACTAAAACCCATCAGTGGTATTAGAGCTTATGATTGTTTTCTATTATCTTTGATGCAAAATGTGTTATTTTTCAAAGCTGAAATGTTGTCTGAATGGCCTACTCGATGAGTCCATGCTTGGACTCGACGAGTAGGATGAGTTTTGCCTTGGACTCGTCGAGTCCAGTATGGGGTTTGACAAGTTGGTTGTCCAGTCAACATTTTTTCGTGTTTTTTGGCTTGTTTTGGATTAGAATCATTACCACAAAATGTTTTAGTTCATAAAATTTGATTTTGTTGATATGGTAATGATGATTCTCATCCAAATAATAGATAATTGTCAAAGTTTCAAGACTTGTATTAGTTTATATGATTAGGCTAATTTCTTGAAATTTGTTTGATTTGAATTATCTTGACTTATGAGTTTAATCTAGATCATAGACAAATTATTTGATTTTGTTAGTTAGAATATTTGATCTAAATGTTTTGATGAAATACATACCTTGTCCTCAAGTTATGGAAAGTGAAAAGTCTCATTTTTTAAATGTCATCTTAAATGGTTTTAAGTCTTCCATAACTTGTCCTCAAGTTATGGAACTTGAAAGGTCTTTCATAAATGTTTTTTATAAACTCCATAACTTGTCCTCAAGTTGTGGAATTCAAGAGTCCTTTTCATAAAACCTTTATTAAACTCGTAAGTTATGAAAATCCAAGAGTTTTGACTAGTTTCAAAACTTGCCCTCAAGTTTTGGAATTTGTAAAGTTTCACTTTTGAATACTTTAGTTCCAAACCCTAGAGTTTTAAAAGTTAAAATTCTACCCTTATACTTTATATTATTATAAGTTTAATAGTTATATATGTATAAGACAAGTCAGTCTTACCATTAGTAGGCCTCATTCACGAAGCCGGTCTATAAGGGGGTATAAGGTTACTGCCTATAAAATGGCAGTTTAATGGGTGTCCACTCTCACCCACCGCTTCCTTGACTGGTGGAGGGCCGTTAGCCGAACGGGTTTGACATGACATTAATTTTCATTAAAAGTATAATGATAACTATAAAGTAACTAAACTTTTATTAAATTCCCAATCTTAGTTACTTTAGGAAAAATGTGAATTTGGTGCTAACCCATGAAATTGCACTTTGCACCTTGTTAAGTCGTTAGTGGAGCGTGCATGGTTAACCGACACACTAATCTGGGACTGACAGTGCGTGGCAAAGGGTAGCTTGATGTAAATCCTAGATCAATGGAGCGTGTAACACTCCAAATCAGGTATGACCTTGTAAGCCCTTGAAGTATTTCTAATATATCATAAGAGACCCTTAATTACGCTGGGCATACTTATGAGTACGCTTAGCGTACTTGGCAAGGAGGATCGCGGAGGGGCAGCACGTACGCTGGGCGTACGTGTCGGATGTTCAAACCCTAAAATCCGGACTTGAGCCCTATATAAACACCCTTAACTCTTTTGAGCCTCACCCTTAACAACCTCCTTCACCTTCAAACGCCTCTGAAAACCCTAATATCATTTGTGAGTGCATTTTGAGCTTTAAGAGTGCATTTGTGGTTCTTTTAGTGTTAATGCAAGAAGAAGAAGTTGTCAAGGAAGCTTGGAGTGCCATTTGGCTTCAAGAACCTGCATATTTTCAACCTTGAGGAGCTTCTGGAGCACGGGAGGTTACAGAAAGTTAGGAGAGCAGTTTCGGATTCTTCGGACGGAGGTGAGTCTTCTCACCATACCCATGGGTCTAAGGCACCAAGGCCGGCCCATTTTATGATATGTGATACACTAGCTGTAGTAGAGTTATGTGGTATGATAGTTAGCTTTATGCTAATTTGTATGCTAGTGACTATGTGATATTTACATGAAAGACCATGGGGGGAGCCCATGGCACTTGGATGTAAGACCATGTGGGGGAGCCCATGGCTGTCCGGCAGGGAAAGACCATGGGGGAGCCCGTGACACTTAGGTGTAAGACCATGTGGGGGAGCCCATGGCATCCTCATGAAGGGATATGTTGTAGAGATAGCTTTACATCTAATATGATATGTTATGTGGTAGAGATAGCTTTTTAGCTAATGTTATGTGGTAGAGATAGCTTATTAGCTAATATGATATGTGTTATAAGGATTGTGTGTGGGGTATGCTCTAGGGAACTCACTAAGCATTGGCTTACAGTTTGTGGATTTGTTTCAGGTACATATGAGCCCAAGGGCAAGGGCAAGGCTTGATGGGACTGCGTGCACTCTCTCACCGATGTTTTATGGGACACTCTGATGTTTTTGAATAAAGTTGTAATGAATGTGGATTTGAAAACAATCTGTTTTGGGATTTCATGGTTATTGGAAATATGTTTGACTAATTAAAAATGAAAAATTTCTTTTGAAAATTTGGGTCGTTACAAGTTGGTATCAAAGCCTTGGTTTGAGGGATTCGGGCACACCCTCGGGTGTGTCAGGACTCAAACTAAGGAAATGGTATAATTGTTTTAAAAAGTAACATAAAAGGGTTTTAAAAGAAATGAAAAGATGAGAGTGCAACGCGCGTGATCAGCCAATCCAAGTAAGTAGTTTCCCAATGTGTTCGCCATGTTATATTGAAATTTGAGCTTGATGATCGTATGGAATTTGCTATGTGTATACTTTTAAAGTTGTATACGGTTAGGAGCTTATAGCCTCAGAATGATTGATTTGTCCTTATTTCTTGTTCCTTTTATGGTTGTGGTCCTAGGGCAGAATCATTTATTCGAAAGTCTACTTGATCCTTTTCTGTATATAATTTGCATGCATAAAGGCAACCTGTCATGATTGGATTGATTGGTACGAGTAGAGTAAATCTTAGGACAACCTGAGATTGATGTATGCGGTAGTTGTGGAATATGGTTCAGTTTCGGAACGAATTGGAGTTATCAGGTAGAGCATTGGGGAAAGGTACAGGTAGGTGTGGAAGGTAGTATTGGGCCCGTACTACTGAAAGCACAGGACCTGTACCCGGACCAATGTTAGATCTGACGACTTCAAGGAGGACCGGTGTGGGAAGGTCCCTTATATGGAAATCCTGATCGTTATGATTTATTCATTTTCAGTTCAGCATGGTGGTGACACGATTTGGAGCAGGGGGATCAGGATCGGGATCTGGATCTGGGGCAGGGTCAGG